TGTTAATTACCCGTTTTTATCCTTTCTCCCCTTTTATTTGGATGTGTCTCATTTTCTTAGTGATTTCTAGAAGCACTTTAAATGACACTGTCACTTCTGTTCTGTCACATACGTTGTAAACCTAGATAATCTTTTAGAACCAAGAGGTAACATCAGGCACCTTCTATTCCCATTCCTCCAATTTACAGGTTCATAAACTGAGGCTTAGAGAGAGAAAGTGATTATCAAAGTCTCTACTATGGGAAGTCAAATTTTCCCAGTAACTAATTAAAATTTATGATGCTCATATCTCTATTATGCTCACATTTTATATTTTTCTAGTAAGCAAAAATTCACTTTCAAATTGACTAGTTATTGATATTTTTAAAAATCCTTCCTCACGTCCACCCTGAAAGAACACATGTACTGATTTTTTAATTCTAGAGTTTTTGCTTATTTTTGGTCTCATTGGCCACCTTCTCTTTTATTCCGTAGGATGCTTGTTTGTTTTTAACTGTTAATTATGACTCGACAGCACTTAACAACAATAACAATGACAACATAGACAACAACAACATAGAGAGAGCTACATTGGCCTAGTGGACAGAAAGTGATGCTCCCAAACCCACGGTGGGTGGTTTTAATCTGCAGCCCTCAGGCCTGGTTTAAATTGTTTTTTGTCAAACATTTTTCTACGTGGTCTAGCACTGGTCTGTGCGTTGCTGTACAGAGGTAACTTGTGGTTGCTGTGATGCTAAACACTGTGATACTGTTGTGACAAACGCTATAATGGTTAACCATGGTGGACAGTGGTGAAGCTTCCCGACTAAAACAAGCCTGGAAGCAGGAGAAGCATCCACTTCCAAAATGGCTTGCCTCTGGAAACTCTATGCCTCCAGAAACTCTATGAACCATGCTCAGATCTTTTGTTCCTGGGGTCGCTGTGAGTCGTCGATGACTCGATGACACTTAACAACAACAACAACAACTCATTTATTTATTTACTCATTTAATGTGGAGCTCTGGTGTCACAGTCAGTAGGGAGTTCCTAGATGTTAGTTATTGTAAGAAAACAGAACGGGGAGACAGCTTAACGTTAACAGTGGGGAAGAGATGTGCTAGACATTCTCCAGTTTCGAGAAAGGAATCTAGAGGACTCGAACACTTTTGCCAGCCTAAGGAAAAGTCCCTGGATTCCACACTTCCATATTTACTAAGAGTGAAAATAATGAAATATTATCATTCTTTTCCGGGCTGTGTATGAGACCTCCTGGCTGCAGCTTTCTACAGTCGGCGGGGGATCTTTTAAGAAGCTGCTTCTGGAACAGTGGTCTTTAAATGCAAGGATATTTGAAGCCTGCTGGATGGACGTGATGCCTGCTCACATCTGTTTTTCGTGCCTTTCCAAAATGGAATTCCATTTGCTGCTTCTTTTGTTAGGGGAGGTGAAGAGCAAAAGCCCAAATTAAGAATCCCGATGAACAGAATGTCTGCTTGCCTGTCAGCTTGGGAGAATAGATGTGCTATGCCTCAGTTGTTCTGGGGGAAAGGTATTATTAGTAAACAGGAGGGGGAGTGCTGGCTTGAGGAAGCAACAGTAAAGGTCAATTGGGAGGAAAATAAAATAGAGTCAGGGGGCGGTAGGAAAATCCACCAGTTACCAATAGATGCTTCCAGACTTCCTCTCTTAGGAAATACTGGAACATGTGGAAAGATCCATTTGTGTACAAGAAAAAGTGAGAGGGAAAAAATAAGGGAGATGAAGCAGGTGTTTCCTGCTACCTGTGCCTTGGAGAAACCTCAGAGACCAGCCAAGGATTTTCCACACCAGCACAAATTGCAGGAAGCCATATTTTTCCATCAGCCTTAACTCAGAGGGCAAACACAGCAGCCTCTACTGCCCAGCCTTCCTCTTCCTTTCTCTCTCTTACAGAGTTTCTCTACCTCCCACAACGTGGAAGTTAGTGAAAAGTTTATACAAATGCTTTATAGAATACTGACAATTTCTCTCTATGGCCCATTCTCAGGTTCTCTGGGATGTTTTGCTTACAGCTTCAGCCTGCTTGGTTCCATAATCAACACTCTTGGTATCAGCAACCAGGAAATCAAAAGACTGATTGTATTGGGAAAAGCTGCTGTCAGGGACCTCTCCAGAGTACTGAAGAGCAACAATTTCAGTCTAGAGACTAAGGTGTGCCTGATCCACGCCATAGTCTCTGTAATTACTTGCTGACATTAAAGAGGTGTAAAATGACTAAGGATGATAGAGAACCGATGTCTTTGAGTCATGGTGTTTGAGAAGAGTATTGGACATACCATGAACTGCTAAGAGAACAAACAGGTCTGTACAGGATAAGGTGAAATCCTTGGAGGCAAGGATTTTGAAGTTTTATCTGACATACTTTGTGCATGTTGCCAGGAGGACTCAATTCTTGGAGAAGGACAAAACCATGCTTGGAAGGGTGGAGGGACAGCACATGAAAAGAAGACCCTGAATGAGATGGATTGACTCAGTGACTGGGGTAATGGAGGTAAGCGTTCTGGAAACAATTGAATTGCCTCCGGATAGTGCAGGGTTCAGTCAAGTATGACCCACAGAGACCCTATGAACAAGAGATCTAAACCCTGTCCTTTCCTGTGTCATAACCCACCTTATGCAAATGACACAACCTTGCTTGCTAAAAATAAGGAGGACTTGAAACACTTGTTGCAAAAGATCAAAGAATACATCCTTCAATATGAATTGCATCTTAATGTCAAGAAAGCAAAGATTCTCACCACTGGACCTACAGGCAACGTCATGATAGGAGAAAAGATTGACACTGTCAACAACTTCATCTTACTTGGATGTATTAGCACCCTTGGTACCAGCAGTCGGGAAATCAGGAGAAGCATTGCACTTGGAAAGTTCTGCAGTTAGGGACCTTACAGAATCATTGAGGAGTAATGATGTCAATTTTAGGACTAAGGTGTGTTTGACTGAGGTCAGGGTCTTTCTGATCATTTCCTATGCATCTGAGAGCTGGACAATGAATAAAGATGACAGAAAAAGAATTGATGCCTTTGAGCTATGGTGTTGGGAAAAGAGTTCTGAACATATCCTGACTGCCAAAAGAACAAACAACTCTTTCTTGGAGAGGGTGCAGCCAGAGTACTCTTTGGAAGCAAAGATGGTGAAGCATCATATCACATCCTCATTAGAGCCCATTACAGCAGCTACTGGGTCAGTCCACCTGGTTGAGGGTCTTCTTTTTCTCCACCAACTCTCTACCTTCTCTAAGGACTAGCCCCTCCTTGCAATGTTGCATGAGGATGGCAAGATAGGACAGGGTTTAGATCTTTTGTTCGTAGGGTCTCATTCTTGACTTGGTGATACCTAACAACAATAACAACAACAATCCTTGTCAAGTTTTAGTTTCTGTATTTCTTTTCTTGGACTTGGTGGGACTGTTGTTGATTTCAATGTCTAAAATATGTTCCTTCCTCCCCAGAAAAGAAAAATTAAAGTCAAATATCCAAGTATGGAATTTGTATAAGGAATATATATGGCATTTACCAGGAATTTGAATAAGGCAGCACTGAGAAGAAGTGAGTCAGAGTGCCTGTGCTACAAAATTAGTGAAAACCAAGAAGTTAATGGAAAGTAAATTGTGGCATCAGGATTGGTGGAAGATCTATTAACAATCTGCATTATGCAGATGACACAACACTGCTTGCTGAAACTGAGGAGGACCTCATGCACTTGCTGCGAAGGGTCAAGGACTGCAGCCTTCAGTATGGACTGATGCTCAATGTCAAGAAGACAAAGATTCTCACCACTGGACCAATTGGCAGCGTCAGGATGGATGGCGAAGAGATTGAGATTGTTCACAGCTTCAGTTTGCTCGGCTCCACAGTCAACACTCTTGGCACCAGCAGTCAGGAAATCAAAAAGTGTATCGCAATGGGAAAGTCTGCTGTTAGGGACCTCCTAAAGTACTCAGGAGCAACGGTGTCTCTCTGAAGACTAAGGTGCGCCTGATACAGGCCATGGTCTTTGCAATCACTTGTTATGCATCAGAGAGTTGGACAATGACTAGGGAGGACAGAAGGAGAGTTGATGCCTTTGAGCTGTGGTGCTGGAGAAGAGTACTGAATGTACCATGGACTGTCAGGAAAACAAACAGATCCATCCTGGAGAGAATTAAACCAAGCAACTCCTTGGAGGCAAGGATTTTGAGGCTTCGTCTGACATACTTTGGACATGTTGCCAGGAGGGACGGGTCCTTGGAGAGGGACATCATGCTTGGGAGGATGGAGGGACAGCGCAGAAGGGGAAGACCCTCTATGAGATGGATCGATTCAGTGACTGGGGTAATCGGGATGGGTGTGTCAGAGGCAGTGCGGTTGGTGCAGAATAGAGCAGGGTTTAGGGATGTTGTGCCTAGGGTCGCTATGAGTCACAAACGACTAGACGGCACACAATAACAACAACAACAACAACAGCAACTTTTAATGTACTAGCAGCTGTCCTTCTAAGTAACTCTCACACACATACACATGCACACACCCAGAGGAAAGTATACAGGAGGATAAGAGTAACAATTTGGCTCTGTGTGTGTACCTTGCCTCCAAATATTTTTAAAGTAATCACAAGGTTTTAAAATACATATCTGGATTTTTCTTTTTTTTTTTTTTTAAGGAGGGTGAAGAGGAAAGGAAAATGGAAGGGAAGTAGAAATGGCAGAAGAGGAAGGATAGAGAAAATGAGAGGGGGGGGGAAATGAGAGACAAGAGAAAAGCAGTAGTGTCTTGGAGCTTTCTACTACAAACAGGAAACACCATATATCACCCAGTTGTTTTGTCTGCAGCAAGTCAAACATCAGGCTTCTTGGAAACATTTGGAAGCTACACTGCTCCTTTCTCTTCTCAGGCAATGGTTGACAGTCCTCTCGCCTCTGTGCGCGTGCATGTGTCTCTCCTTTTGAAGGCTTTTTGTGGTCAAGTCATAAAGGTCTGTTTAGCGGCTGAGGTGACGTCACACTGACCACAAAAGCTTACATTTCCTGCTACTAAATACACAGCCCCTGCTGATGAAGTGGCCATTACAGAGGGAGCTTGTTCTGCTGAGGTCATCGCCAGCGGAGACAAAGGCACTGGGGGAGGGGGCCTGTGGAGAGAGCAGAGCCATTATGCCCCAGTGTGTCTGCCTGCCCACTGATCCTCGTCCTGTTAGAGCCACAAGATGGAAATAGAAGTCCCTTTGTGCCTCCTCCAGACCTCTGTCTCGGAGGATGCAGGGGCATTCTGGGAGGCAACGTGACTGGGAGACGGGAACAGATGAGGCCAGGTCTTTGCTTCCAAGCTCGCCATCTCCGTGCTGAGTGATTGTATCTCTCGGGGGTCTAATTATGACCTTCTCCATTTTACTAGATGAAAGCACAGATAGTTTTGGGGGTTATAAATGTCCACATTAAGAACAAACTCCTGTTTATCCTACAGCATTAGGGAAATTTGCCCTCATTTTGAAACAATTTCAGTAACCCCTGCTCAAAACAAATGATTCATCACAACTACCTTCACTTCTTGCACTTTCCATTTATAAATCATTGAAAAGGCTTAGAGACTTTCTTTGCGCTAAAGCTAAAGAAGAAGTGTAAGTGCCTACAAATTCTTATAGTCTAAGGCACAGCTCTTGTTTGGAGCCCAGGTACTGCGTATATATCCCCAGCAGGAATCAAAAGAGATACTGGGTGGCAAAGTGCGCAGTGTATTGGGCTGCTCACCAAGCAGTTAAAATCTGTCAGCCACTCCTCCGGAGAAAGACGGGGAGCCTCTTCCCGCAAAGATTTCTTCACAGCATCTGAAACCTGCAGAGGTGTGGCCAGGAGTTGGAATCAATTCCATGGCGGTAAGTTTGGTTGTTGTTGTTGTTGTTGTTACGTGCCATGGAGTCAGAACCAACTTGCAGCTGACACCCTAGCGGTTGACAGAGGCAGTAAATCACATGGGAAGAGAGTGCCCATCTTTCTCCCACGTGACAACTGGTGGATTTGAACTGTGTGCCTTTGGGATTGCAATGCAGTTTTTCATTTAAATCTCAGTTGTCTGGGTGACGTAGATGGCTTGCTCTCAGCTATTAACCAAAAAGTTTGGTGGTTCAGCCCTACCCAGCGGTGCCATGGATCAGCTTCTACAGAGATTACCAGCAAGAAAATAGCACAAGAGTTCAGTTCTCAGAATTGACTTGGCAGCTGTAGGTTTTTCAAAGCTACGTATTTCTTTGGTGCTTCCACTTTTCTTGCAGTGAGGAGGTGTTACAGTTCTTTCTTCTGGGCGGGAAAGTAAAGGGAAGGTTTAATTTTTTTCAAATTTATATTCATTATCCCTGCAAAATCACTGGTGAAGAATTTTATCTTTTTTTTTAAAGTGAAAGGCAAAGGATGAATTAAAGTGGTAGAATGATCTGTCAAGTAGAGCAAATGAACCCACACCAACTACTAGCTAGAAGACACAGAGAAATAAGAAAATACCTGGGTATGATCTTATAAAAAAGGCAATACAACAGCATTTAGTTTGAATGTAATATATAGGCAATTAGTAGGAAGCACAGGTAGGAATTGACATTTAACAACAGTGGCCTGCCAAATGTCTGGACCCAAAATTCAGGTAAAATGAAGCTGGCTATGCTAGGTAATACGTGTGCCCTTTGAGTGTTGCATTTCTGCAACCAGATTAATTTCTACATTGAGAAAAATGGAAAACATTGCTTTAGCCAAGATCATACAGAACTTTTCCTGTGTTCATTTTTGAATATTTGACAAAGCAGTATCATATTCCCTACATTTTTCCTTCCTTTTATTATAATTTTTTTTCTCTTTGGTGAAGTAGGCTTAGGTGTAGGACCTTAAACACAGAAATATTTTGGAACAAATCCATATGGCATTAAGTGCAGGGAAACTTTTGCCATTATCCATATAATTTAGGTATTCAATTTGCCCAGTCCGAATATCCCAGCTGCTGACTGGTTCCTGCAGGGTAGGGTTGTCTAGATTGGTTTTCTGTATAAACCAAACAAGAGGAAAATCGCCATGTCCCTATGCTGAAGCATACTTTCTTCCAGGGCCACCAGCTAACTTTTAAGGGCCTCTTGCAGGTCCCAAGCCACGTTCAGTCCACCTGATCTGAGGCTATGGCTGGCTTTGGTATGTCTCAGTTATTCCCCACAAGCTGCCGTTCCCTTGGCTCAGGCATAAAGCGCTAGCACCATTAATCATTCCTTTCCTGGAACACACTAGAACTCCTGCCTAAGCAGAGAACTATCATTTTCATTTCCTAATTTTAAAAAATGTGTATTTAGTATGTGAAGGAAGAAAGACCAAAAAGGCCATTTCAAAATCCCAATGTGAGAGAAAATGTAAAAACAAGGTTGTGGGCCACCTCCTCCTGAATTCACTTACCCTATTGTGTTGAGGAGTATTGAGAAGATAAGACCTGTCCTGACAGAGGAGAAAGGCTGCTATTTCCAAATAGAATAATCACCTTCAGTTTACACCAGATTTAGTCACTTCATAATGGCACAAAGAATTTAGCTCTTGACGACTAGCTGTAAGTTTGTAATTCATAGCCACTCATAGGGTCCCTGGAATACAGATCTGGCTATCTACTTTCAAAAGATCATAGTTTTGAAAACTCTATGGAGCAATTTTCCTCATTTACATGCTGTTGGAATTGACCCAATAACAGCTAAAAACACCAACATAAATTCAAGTGAGGATCAAATTCAAATGTAATATTAATCTACTGACAGAGCAAAGAAGCAAACAATATGATAAAATGGGTAAAAGCTTAGCAAAATACAAAATTGTGAGAAAAGTCTCACTTCAATGGTAGAAGTCAAGCAAGTAAGCAAGTTGGTCAAAGTAGAATCAAGTAGTTAATATCGCTTTGATAAACTCAATGTACACATGACACTAAAAATGGCCTAGAATCTGAACAATGTGATAAATTAAGTTTAGGAAGACAGTGTTTCAAATTACAATTTTTATTTGTTTGTTTTTAGCACAACTAAGGTCTCTGAAGATGTATTTCATGGCCAACAATTGTGTGCAATATACACGGTCACTTACTGTGTCTCCACTACAGGTTTAAGGATACAGCTAGCTAAGTGTGGTTATCTATTACTGCCAGTCAGTGTAGTGTTTGATAGCAGTCAATATGTGGCCCTAGCTTTGTGCTTTGGGTGCTAAATAGAGATATCCATGTAGTAGTCTAGTGCCCTCTTGTGGTTTTCAGGCTAATCATCTTAAACTCATTTGTAGAATTCGAGCTCTTCTCGGAAGCGCCAATTTAGGTCATTGTGAATTTAACTCATATTTTCTGATTATTTTCCCCTCCAAAAAAACATAGTGTGTGATTATATACTTATGAGACTCTGTCCAGGAAGAATCATTTTGAATAATGGAGAGTAGCTAAAAATCTTGGACTTTAAAATGGACCTTCAGAACTTAGTATGCCATGACTGGCAAATGTTCACTGAAATCCCTTCACCAATTTGATGATATCTTCCAGTTTATCCATTTTCTTTTATGCTTACTCAGAAATTTATCCTATGGAATAGATTTAGATAATTTTCATATTAAAACTGAAATCAAGAGAAGAATTATGAAGGTTATATTAAGTGATTTAAAATGTGAAAATTCTTCCTGTAACCAAACTTAGGTATTTTACATGGCTCTAGTACAATACATGAAGGTTACAGATTTTTACTTACTGCTGTTGTTGTTGTATGTTGTTGTGCCATTGAGTTGCCTGTGACTCATAGCAACCCTATGTACAACAGCTCTGAAGCATGCCCTGTCCTGAGCCAGTTTTACTGACTATGATACTCTTACCCCCACTGCCCCAGTTACTGTATCAATCTATATCATCAAGGGTCTTCCTCTCCTGCACTGTCCCTCCACCCTTTTGAACTTGATATTCTTCTCCAAGGAGCAGTCCCTCCTGGCCCCACACTCAATGTATGTGACAGAACTTCAAAATCCTAGCTGCTAAGGAGAAACTCGGTTTCACCCTCTCCAAGACAGACTTATTTGTTTTCTTGGCAGTCCGTGGTATGTTCAAGATTCTTCTCCAGCACCACAATTCAAAGACATCAATTCTTCTTCTGTCATTCTTAGTTATTACCCATTTTTCTGATGCATAGTAAATAATTGCAAAGACCATGGACTGGATCAGGCTCACCTTAGTCTCTAGACTGACATCGTTGCTCCTCAGTACTCAGGAAAGGACCGTGACAGCAGATTTACCTAATACAATTAATCTTTTAATTTCCTGACTGCTGTTGCCAAGAGTGCTGGTTGTGGAACTGAGCATGTATTACTTGTTAACAACCTCAATCTCTTCTCCATCCATTGTGGTGTTGTCAAATTGGCCTGGTCATGAAAATCTTTGTCTTTTTTATGTTGAGCTTCAATCTGTATAGAAGACTACAGTCTTTGACCTTCTACAGCAAGTGCTTCGGGTCCTCTTCAGTTTCAGCAAGCAAAGTTGTGTCATCTGTATAAAATAGGTTTTTGATGAGTCTTCTTCCAATCATGATACCACATTCCTCCTCATAACAAAGCATATTTTAATGATTATAATTTTATGACATTGGAAAGGTCTGATTAAAGACAAAACAGCTTTCCAGTCTTTGAAACAGTTAAGCAAATGTGACTATTTCTTGATGTAAAAGCTTTATTGAGCCCCCTCCTTGGGACTAGATAATCTTTTTTGGGGTGGGTTAGTTTAGTTTTTTTGTTTGTTCCTCTATACAAAATCATGTTGGCTATTCCATATCTTTTGGGTTGCCTTATGAATTTTGGAGCAGCTTGTCAATAGAAGTTAACAGGGATTTAACTCAATCTATTGATCAGTTAGGAGAGAACCGCCATAGTAACACTGACTCTTTCAAATGGCTCTCCATTTATTTAGATCTTTCATTTCTCTCAGTACTGTTTCGCAGGCTTCTGTGAATCAGAAAAGCCAATATGAGTGTAGGCTTTAATTGAGGGAAGATTTTTAATTAGTAATTCATTTTATACACATTTTTACTGAGGTTTGGGTGAAACCTCACAGAGAAAATTAGTTTCTCCATTCATTATTCACACACATTTTATTACATGACATTGATGGCAATTCTCACTCTGTGACAACACTCTTCTCACTTCCTTCCTGCTTCTCCATGTCCAGCAGCCCTACTTTCCTGCTTTTCCCTAATTTCAGAGTTTTGATTTTGGACAAATCTTGTCCTTTTAGGCATGTATCTGATTGTTCTGAGACTTACTTATTCTTTATATTATTGTTAATTCTAAAGGTTTTTCCTACTCTTTTGCTGTAAGTTGATGGCTGGGGTGGGTTCAGTTCTAGACTTGAAGAACTGTG